ACGTCGGTGAGCCGTCACTAGCCATGACGTCATCCCCCAACCCAGAACTGACCAGACAACACAGCGATGTTGGTTTACTTCACTGCGGTTTACAGATGCACCTACAAAGCCAACTGACCAATGGTCAGCAGGAAGGCGGCGACTTTAATTACTCCCTGAGTAAAATACGGCGTGATTCTTCACCGCCAGAGGCCAGCAAATCATCTTCATCTCTAGGAGATTCGTTTGCACAGAACATCAAACCAAGGCAAATGACAACAGCTATTGAAATATTTGTTGAAAAATCAAAATCAGAAATCAGAAGTGTACCAAGTCTGTCTGCTAATGTAAGAGAAAACATTGTGGAAGAGATGGGGGATGAGGTGAAGTCTTCACTCGGGGTGAAAACGTTCAGCTTGACTGAAGCTACAGGGGCAGTGACAGACGAGGTAGAATGTCTTACACAAGGCACGATAGATGGCCTCACTCACCAGGACATGGCAGATGGCCAACTTCTTGATGAGGTGGCAGATGGCCAACCTCTTAAATACATGGCAGATGGCCAACCTCTTAAATACATGGCAGATGGCCAACCTCTTAAATACATGGCAGATGGCCAACCACTTAAATACATGGCAGATGGCCAACCTCTTGAAGACATGGCAGATGGCCAACCTCTTGATGACATATCCGATGGCCAACTTCTTGAAGACATGGCAGATGACCAACCTCTTGAATACATGGCAGATGGCCAACCTCTTGAAGACATGGCAGATGGCCAACCTCTTGAAGACATGGCAGATGGCCAACCTTTTGAAGACATGGCAGATGGCCAACCTTTTGAAGACATGACATATGGCCAACATGTTGATGACATGGCCCGCAGCCACCAATTGAAAGAGAATCACCTCCAGGACATAGCTCAAGTAGCATCGATTGAACTTGAAGTCGGGGATGTAAGCGGTGAGCTAGAGATGTCGGCTGCTGTTTGTGAGCTAGAGGTTGCTGTCCTTAACGAAAACAACAGACGTGACGCCGACTACTCGACTGTTCAAAATATCGAGACAGCTAAAACGTCACAGCACGTTGAAGTCAAGGATCCCGCTCTGGAGACCTACGTTTGTCATCTTACAGCTCCAGAGACCAACGTTTGTAATCTTACAGCCAAAGCCCCAACACAAAACTGGTCATGTTCGAGCATAGACCTCGAGAGTTGCCCAAGTCTACTGGACCGTGACGACAACTTTTTCCAGCTGCCCAGCACTGACCCGGATGTTCGAACTCAAAACATGAATGACCTTGACAGGCTCCAATGGCACGAGAACGAGGGCATGCGCATGGAAGAGTGCACGCCTAGACTGGAAGAAACAGAGCAGAGTGCCACGTGTAGAGTGACGATTGACGAGGCTATGTTGAGTGACATTGTGAAACCTACGGACCGTGGGTTGAACTTGGCTGGAGGGGACATGCAGGTAGTGCCTGACAGAGCAGGCGATGGGTACGGTCAGTCGCAGGAAGCTGCAGGTGGGGACCAGGCACCGTTGCCGGAAATGGGAGTTGGTGACGTCATTGACATTCAGGAAATAGGAGTTGGTAACGTCATTGACATTCAGGAAATCGCCGGGGATGTCCAGAAACTAATGCAGGAGATTGTGGGGGACCATCAGGAGATTGTGGGGGACCATCAGGAGATTGTGGGGGACCATCAGAAGATTGTGGGTGACCATCAGGAGATTGTGGGTGGCGATCAGGAGATTGTGGGTGACCATCATGAAATACTAGCGCTCAACTGCACAGCTGGTGGTGACCAAAATAAGTTGGAAGTTACAGGGGGTGACCAAAACCTAACAGAGGAGAACATTTTAGGTTGCCATACGTCACAGATTCAGAGAATCAAGTTCACTCCGCTTGATTGTGCAATTAACGAGATACATTTAGTTAATGACGTAGGTAATATGTCGACTTTGAGCAAAGAATTCAGTCACATAACAAAAGATGAAGGTGAACTGCTTGTAGACTGTCAGGGTCAGGGTGACACAATCCGTGGTGGTGTGGTGACTCAGGTAACTGGTGGTTACTTCAGCAGTGAAGAGATACACCAGGGGGATATAGGAGAGGAGAGACTTGAATCACACGACGCTGACAGAAAGGTTGGTCAAGCATTTGACGGCAACAATGATTCAGTTGTAGACAGTCATATCAATGAATGTGGGTCTTGTAAGCGGAAAGATGAGCCACCCAGTCAATTTCACGCTCACGAGCCAACAGAAGATTTTAAAGCTGAATGTTGCTTGGACACGGAGCTGAAACCGCATGATGAGTTTTTCTCGGAAGGGAAGGATTACGATCCACTGGAAGAATGCACAGAACAGAAATGTCATTTCCCTCAGCAAAACGTAGCAGAATTTGAAAAGGGCTTTAGTCTACAGGAAGGGCTTGAAAAAGGCTTTAGTCCACAGGAAAGGCTTGCCTCTGATGTGGTACCCGAGCTAAAGGAATATTGTAGTACGGATATATTACATGTGGCTGCGGTGGAATCAAATGAAGGGGGTATGTCTGAAGAAGCAGAAAATGTTGGGTCCAACAGACACAATTTGCTAAATGAAAGAACAGAAATTTTTGTTTATTGTAATTCTTCTCCAGCATTGGTTAAACCCGTCTTGAAATCCGGCAGTCTACAGGAGTCATGGTCACTAGACCAGCCGGAGGAGTGCCTCGCTAGGGAGGGTCAATGCAGAGAGCATCAGAGAGAATCGGAGAGTGTTTGTGTAGGGGAGAAGATATTCTGCGATAGAGATCCTGAGGAGGAATGTTTTAAGATGGCTCATGACGGTTATCATGAAACACCTTTGACGAAGTTAGTTACAGTAGGTGATGAATCAGATAGGGTGGTCAGTCCATCTACCAATACAGCAGAAAAAGTGGTCAGTCCATCTCTCACTACAGCAGATAGGGTGGTCAGTCCATCTCTCACTATAGATAGGGTGGTCAGTCCATCTCTCACTATAGATAGGGTGGTCAGTCCATCTCTCACTACAGCAGATAGGGTGGTCAGTCCATCTCCCACTACAGCAGATAGGGTGGTCAGTCCATCTCCCAATACAGATAGGGTGGTCAATCCATCTCCCAATACAGATAGGGTGGTCAGTCCATCTCCCACTACAGATAGGGTGGTCAGTCCATCTCCCAATACAGCAGATAGGGTGGTCAATCCATCTCCCACTATAGATAGGGTGGTCAGTCCATCTCCCACTACAGATAGGGTGGTCAGTCCATCTCCCAATACAGCAGATAGGGTGGTCAATCCATCTCCCACTATAGACAGGGTGGTCAGTCCATCTCCCACTATAGATAGGGTGGTCAGTCCATCTCCCACTATAGATAGGGTGGTCAGTCCATCTCCCACTACAGATAGGGTGGTCAGTCCATCTCCCAATACAGCAGATAGGGTGGTCAGTCCATCTCCCAATACAGCAGATAGGGTGGTCAGTCCATCTCCCAATACAGCAGATAGAGTGGTCAGTCCATCTCTCACTATAGATAGGGTGGTCAGTCCATCTCCCACTATAGATAGGGTGGTCAGTCCATCTCCCACTACAGATAGAGTGGTCAGTCCAAATAATGTTACGATCGATCCATTCTTGTGTCTAGAAGCTGATAATACCCCCCATGATCTTGACACGAATGAAGAAATAAGACCATACCTTATTGAAACATCAGATGGGGTCATTGAGACCAAAGAAGACATGTCATTTTTCAATAAAGACAATATTGGCGTCAATGGAGGCATCAAAGACATGGTCTTAGACCAACAAGAAGAGACAAGCTCTGTCAACACCGAACTCTTCAACTTATCACATGCAGATTTGGCAGCGGACGTTCCTTGTGAGTTCAACATCCGGGCAATGCCAGAAGTTGCAGGTCGGTTGGAAGAATATAACGATGCTGCTCAGGTTGACGGAGACCAGCCGTCGTCTGCTGTAGAGGTTGTAGATCATCTAAACAAGGATCGTACGGGCTACGGAGAAGACGCTTGTTTCTGTCAAGTGGAAGAGGATTTGTGTTACAAGCCACACGATGCTGACTCTAGATTCCCACATCAGCCACACGATGCTGACTCTAGATTACCACATCAACCACACGATGCTGACTCTAGATTACCACATCAACCACACGATGCTGACTCTAGATTACCACATCAACCACACGATGCTGACTCTATTTTACCACATCAACCACACGATGCTGACTCTAGATTACCACATCAACCACACGATGCTGACTCTAGATTACCACATCAGCCACACGATGCTGACTCTAGATTACCACATCAGCCACACGATGCTGACTCTAGATTACCACATCAACCACACGATGCTGACTCTAGATTACCACATCAACCACACGATGCTGACTCTAGATTACCACACCAACCACACGATGCTGACTCTAATTTACCACATCAGCCACACGATGCTGACTCTAGATTACCACATCAACCACACGATGCTGACTCTAGATTACCACATCAACCACACGATGCTGACTCTAGATTACCACATCAACCACACGATGCTGACTCTATTTTACCACATCAACCACACGATGCTGACTCTAGATTACCACATCAACCACACGATGCTGACTCTAGATTACCACACCAACCACACGATGCTGACTCTAATTTACCACATCAGCCACACGATGCTGACTCTAGATTACCACACCAACCACACGATGCTGACTCTAGATTACCACATCAACCACACGATGCTGACTCTAGATTACCACATCAACCACACGATGCTGACTCTAGATTACCACATCAACCACACGATGCTGACTCTAATTTACCACATCAGCCACACGATGCTGACTCTAGATTACCACACCAACCACACGATGCTGACTCTAGATTACCACATCAACCACACGATGCTGACTCTAGATTACCACACCAACCACACGATGCTGACTCTAGATTACCACATCAACCACACGATGCTGACTCTAGATTACCACATCAGCCACACGATGCTGACTCTAGATTACCACATCAGCCACACGATGCTGACTCCACGTGTCCACAACAGCATCAGATTATTGAATCCATGTGCACCATCTCAGACGAAGGCCATCAGACCGTGCAACATATGACGTGTACGAATGACAGTAGTGAAGCTATGACAGCCCATCAAGACCTGGAACTGACTGGCCAGGTCAACTTGACACAATCAACGCTAGACCCTACACCTGACACGTTAGATGTGGATGATTCACCGTCAACTTTAGCGCTTTGTCAAGTTTCAGAGGCGAACAAAGCGATGGACAATGTTGCGGATATGCTACATGGTAGTGGTGAAAGTGGAGAATGGTTGGGCAGGGGAAATAACAAAGAATGTGAAATCAACGATGAAAGTGTAGAAATATTGAGTGCACAGATTGAAGCAGAACACGCTGGGAGCCGAGATGAGAAGATCAGTCTAGAAGGGGATAGATGCATTTTGGACTTGCAAAAGGGCAGCGTAACAGAAGCTACAGACGCGTATTGTAGTGGTGCGGGTGGAGTTGTTGAACAAGTGCCACACCTAGATGCTGCAGATGGTGACCACAATAAAATAAGAAATGAGCAGACTATGGGTCGTCTGCCAGTAAACGATGACGCCTTCTGGGACGATGAACCTGACGGGAAGATGTTAAAAGGTTATCTATCAGAAGGTGAGGTTGTAAAGGGTGAACAATCTGAAGGGAATGTTTTGAACGATTACCGTACTGATATACAAGAAAGTGGTTGTGTGTTTGGAAGCTATAGTGCGACATGTGACAATTTAAACCATGGCCACCCTACTACCCAAATAGAAAATACGGCTGACAATCTACCGCCAGAAGATCATGATCTTGCCAAAAATCTACTGCCTGAAGATCATGATCTTGCTAAAAATCTATTGCCTGTTAACCTATCCATAAACGAGAACGATTGTTTACATTCTTCCATTGACAAAGTCCATCAGAACGAGGCTGACTGCGTAGTCACCCCACCCTCCCCGTCCAGTTCATTCCATCTTAAAGAGAAAACTTTAGGTCTCGGGACCCAAGACGACCAAAACCCTGAAGATACTGATGACTTTTTCGACGACAATGATGACAAGAAAGTGAAGGACAAGCATTCAGAGCAAGGAAGCCCCAGCAGCGATGAAGACATTGAACAAGAAGATGATGAGTTCTATGAGAATGTTAGCCAGCAAAAAGTTCAAAAATCCCAGTCGCTGACCAACGTTGTGGAGGAAAGGTCAACAGGTCATCTCAAGGTCGATGGTCAACTTGAGCCAGCAGCTGAAGACGTCCAAAGTCTTTACTCCGTCTCCAACAAATATTCCAGCCTTGAGGTGACAGACTCCAAGAGCGCATCCTCCTCTCTCATCAGCAGCGCCAACTCCAGCTCTCTGCTCAAGGAAGAGGCTTCAGACGCTGATAACAGCCGCTCTTATCACAAGGACAATACGTCATTGGGCCGAGACAAATGCCAGGATCTTGACCCACACCAGAATGTTGGGGTATCCATTGAGTCTACAGAATATAAGGATGGGGAACCCATTGCGTTTACAGAACAAAAAGCGGGTGTATCAACTGAATTTACAGACACCATATTGGTACCGCAGGTCTCACCCCTTCAAGCTCCTGCAGTTTTAGAAATCTCCAAAGCCGATGATGTTGTTGAAGTGGGACAAGACGAGGATGTTGTTAAAGTCGGACAAGACGCGGATGTTGTTGAAGTCGGACAAGACGAGGACGCTGTTAAAGTTGTACAAGATGACCGACCTCTGAGCGGCCTGGACGTGCCGCAGACGATATCAAAGGAGGAAAAGTTAACTGAGAGCATCAGAACTACAGAGGATCCAACTGTTGCCATAAGCATATCAAACCAATCACTGTCGGGATCGATTAATTCATCTAGCCGATCGAATCACTCATTGAAAGGATCGATTAATTCATCTAGCCGATCGAATCACTCATTGAAAGGATCGATTCATTCATCTAGCCGATCGAATCACTCACTGAAAGGATCGATTCATTCATCTAGCAGTTTAAATCATTCACTACACCGCAGACAATCCGAACCGACACAACTGGTCCCTGGGGATCGAGACTCACCTGACGCTCCGGGCAGGGTAGGCGAGGGCTTTGAGTACTCACCAGCAGCCAAAGTCATACTAGACGCGACTGACCTGTGGTTGAACAAAATCTCCGATCTATGCCAGTCACCACAAAGTGCTGAGCCCAGTGACGAGCAACTCCGTGAGATTGCAGACGAGTGTAAGTCTCACCTACTGACCTTGACCGGCGACCCGGAAACAAACGATGTCCAGCTTCCTCGGCCGGGCAGTGCCCAAGCCACTAAAGATTCTGCCCTGTCAGTTGATGGGAAATCAAGTACCGGATCATCCAGCCACTCCCTTAGCAAAGACCACCAACACCGACTAAGCATTTCCTCATCTAGAAGTGCAAGCATCTCCTCCTCGAGATCGAAAAACGCGGACAGCTCAGCTTCGCTGAAAGACAAACCCGAACCGAAGCGGGCTGGAAGCGAGGCCAACAATGGAATTAAAAAGAGAGGAGAGCCACATAGAGGTCTGGCGACACTGGGAAATATTGTTGGTAAAGATGTGAAGCATAATCCAGGTGACCCAGGTAATGACACACAAGGGGCGGAGCTTAGATCAGAGAAACAAGCTCAGGGGGAGAGGGTGAATCCTCGCTTCATCAGCAGGCCATTGAGCTCAACGTCAATGGATCAAAGCTCACGACCGCCTGTTACTAGACCTTTAAGCGCACGATTAACTTCCGGTTCTAAATCATCAACTTCCGGAGCGTCAATCCCCCCTCTTAGCTCTGTTTTGTTAGATAAGCTCACAGAGCAGGGGAAAAAAGGGATCGAGAAGGCGACCGGCAAGGACAGTCACTCTCTGGTCTTCACCGGAAGTAAAGGCACCAAAGTCGCCCCTTTGCTAGACAAGCGCTTGGTGCCTCACCCGCCCCCCGTCTGCTACACAGAAACCTCTACCCCAGCAGAAACGACAGGGCCCAACAAACTGGAGAGGTTTTTACAGCGCACCGGTGGGCGCTTCATATCCCGGGTTGGTTTCCAAGGCAACACCACAACAAAAGATGACGTCAGCGACATAAACAAAGCCATGACAAGAATGGAATCTCCGGCGAACAAAGCGACTTTGAAAAAAACAAACGAAGACGCGGAGACGAGCAGACGACAGAAGCAACATCAGACTTTGTTCCGCAGCGCCTTGTCGGCATCAGCCTCGACCCAGACTGACCCGAAGGTGACCCAGAAGCCGCGCTACCACGCCACCATCCGCAGCAAGGAGAGCCTGGCGCCCTGTGGGGAGCCTGGGGAGCCCAGCATCTACTCGGCTGGGACGGGGGACGGCACGGGTAAGGAGCCGGCGCCCACACAGAGACGGAGGAAGTCGCCCGACTCAAAGTGGATCGTGTACGAGAAGGAGAGTCTGGGGGACCAAGATGGCGGCGGACAGCTCAATCGCCGAAAGATGGAACGTAAGTCAAAAAGTTTTTTAAATAATTCTAAGGCAGGGCAATGTCGGTATCGATCAATAACTGTAGGGTACTGTCGGTATCGATATTAACTCTAGGGTACTGTCGGTATCGTTATGTAATTCTAGGGTACTGTCGGTATGGTTATATAACTAGAATGTCTAGATGTCGGGGCGTGGCTTACGTGAACAATAAATACAGATCTGAATACAACCTATATGTAATATAATCTTATCACATTACCTTTTTCGTTATGTATTAATATGTGTTAATAAACAAACAACTCTAACATACCTATTTAAGTCACTCCAGTCTTCTCTTGTATAGGTCAAAGTTCATTTTAAAAAAAATACCAAGCACGGTTTGGTGTTTGTATTTTACAAGTTTAAGACGAGATTTAGTAGAAGGCTGAGTTTGTGACGGTTTTGATCTTAGTAGAAGGCTGAGTTTGTGATGATTTTGTGTTTGTATTTGATACAAGATTTAGTAGAAGGCTGCGTTTGTGATGATTTTGATCTATTTGCAGCCTTGAAACTCCGTGAGTCTGGACTAAAGAAAAACAAGCCGACCAAGGTGAGCAGTGGTCACGTGAATTGTTCCAGGTCTTGTCAGAGGTTAACCCAGTGTTGTTAGTGGCTAACCCAGTTTTGTCAGTGGCTAACCCAGTCTTGTCACAGGCTAACCCAGTGTTGGTTCAGATCTTGTCAGGTTCTTGTTACGGGAGTAATTCAATATCTGTGTGTTCTAGATTCAGTTTTAAAGCCTTAACGCTGGTACTGACATTATCCTTAAACTTAGACCCGATCTTAATCCTAATCCTGAAACTTGGCCTGACAATCATCATTATACTTTTGTCCTTGTATGACAGATGATGACCATGTGTGACAGATGATGTCATTGTATGACAGATGATGACTTTGTATGACAGATGATGACCATGTGTGACAGATGATGACCATGTATGACAGATGATGACATTTTATGACAGATGATGACCATGTGTGACAGATGATGACTATGTATGACAGATGATGACATTGTATGACAGATGATGAACATGTATGACAGATGACCATGTATGACAGATGACCATGTATGACAGATGATGACGATGTATGACCATGTATGACAGATGATGACGAAGTATGAGCATGTATGACAGATGATGACGATGTAGGAGCATGTTTGACAGATGATGACCATATATGACAGATGATGTCCATATATGACAGATGACCATGTCTGACAAATTACCATCTATAAGCTTGTATGATAGATGACCATGTATGACGGATGACCATGTATGACCATGTATGACAGATGATGACCATGTATGACCATGTATGACCATGTATGACAGATGATGACCATGTATGACCATGTATGACCATGTATGACAGATGATGACCATGTATGACAGATGATGACCATGTATGACCATGTATGACAGATGACCACGTATGACAGATGACCATGTATGACCATGTATGACCATGTATGACAGATGACCACGTATGACAGATGACCATGTATGACCATGTATGACAGATGACCATGTATGACAGATGAACATGTATGACCATGTATGACAGATGATGACCATGTATGACAGATGACCATGTATGTCCATGTATGACAGATGATGACCATGTATGACCATGTATGACAGATGACCATGTATGACCATGTATGACAGATGATGACCATGTATGACCATGTATGACAGATGATGACCATGTATGACCATGTATGACAGATGACCATGTATGACCATATATGACCATGTATGACCATGTATGACAGATGATGACCATGTATGACAGATGACTATGCATGACAGATGACCATGTATGACCTTGTATGACAGATGACCATGTATGACAGATGACCATGTATGACAGATGACCATATATGACAGATGATGACCATGTATGACAGATGATGACCATGTATGACCATGTATGACCATGTATGACAGATGATGACCATGTATGACAGATGATGACCATGTATGACCATGTATGACCATGTATGACCATGTATGACAGATGACCACGTATGACAGATGACCATGTATGACCATGTATGACAGATGACCATGTATGACCATGTATGACAGATGATGACTATGTATGACCATGTATGACCATGTATGACAGATGATGACCATGTATGACAGATGATGACCATGTATGACCATGTATGACCATGTATGACAGATGACCACGTATGACAGATGACCATGTATGACCATGTATGACAGATGACCATGTATGACAGATGAACATGTATGACCATGTATGACAGATGATGACCATGTATGACAGATGACCATGTATGTCCATGTATGACAGATGATGACCATGTATGACCATGTATGACAGATGACCATGTATGACCATGTATGACAGATGATGACCATGTATGACCATGTATGACAGATGATGACCATGTATGACCATGTATGACAGATGACCATGTATGACCATATATGACCATGTATGACCATGTATGACAGATGATGACCATGTATGACAGATGACTATGCATGACAGATGACCATGTATGACCTTGTATGACAGATGACCATGTATGACAGATGACCATGTATGACAGATGACCATATATGACAGATGATGACCATGTATGACAGATGATGACCATGTATGACCATGTATGACCATGTATGACAGATGATGACCATGTATGACAGATGATGACCATGTATGACCATGTATGACCATGTATGACAGATGATGACCATGTATGACAGATGACCATGTATGTCCATGTATGACAGATGATGACCATGTATGACCATGTATGACAGATGACCATGTATGACCATGTATGACAGATGATGACCATGTATGACCATGTATGACAGATGATGACCATGTATGACCATGTATGACAGATGACCATGTATGACCATATATGACCATGTATGACCATGTATGACAGATGATGACCATGTATGACAGATGACTATGCATGACAGATGACCATGTATGACCTTGTATGACAGATGACCATGTATGACAGATGACCATGTATGACAGATGACCATATATGACAGATGATGACCATGTATGACAGATGATGACCATGTATGACCATGTATGACCATGTATGACAGATGATGACTTTGTATGACAGATGATGACCATGTGTGACAGATGATGACCATGTATGACAGATGATGACATTTTATGACAGATGATGACCATGTGTGACAGATGATGACTATGTATGACAGATGATGACATTGTATGACAGATGATGAACATGTATGACAGATGACCATGTATGACAGATGACCATGTATGACAGATGATGACGATGTATGACCATGTATGACAGATGATGACGAAGTATGAGCATGTATGACAGATGATGACGATGTAGGAGCATGTTTGACAGATGATGACCATATATGACAGATGATGTCCATATATGACAGATGACCATGTCTGACAAATTACCATCTATAAGCTTGTATGATAGATGACCATGTATGACGGATGACCATGTATGACCATGTATGACAGATGATGACCATGTATGACCATGTATGACCATGTATGACAGATGATGACCATGTATGACCATGTATGACCATGTATGACAGATGATGACCATGTATGACAGATGATGACCATGTATGACCATGTATGACCATGTATGACAGATGACCACGTATGACAGATGACCATGTATGACCATGTATGACCATGTATGACAGATGACCACGTATGACAGATGACCATGTATGACCATGTATGACAGATGACCATGTATGACAGATGAACATGTATGACCATGTATGACAGATGATGACCATGTATGACAGATGACCATGTATGTCCATGTATGACAGATGATGACCATGTATGACCATGTATGACAGATGACCATGTATGACCATGTATGACAGATGATGACCATGTATGACCATGTATGACAGATGATGACCATGTATGACCATGTATGACAGATGACCATGTATGACCATATATGACCATGTATGACCATGTATGACAGATGATGACCATGTATGACAGATGACTATGCATGACAGATGACCATGTATGACCTTGTATGACAGATGACCATGTATGACAGATGACCATGTATGACAGATGACCATATATGACAGATGATGACCATGTATGACAGATGATGACCATGTATGACCATGTATGACCATGTATGACAGATGATGACCATGTATGACAGATGATGACCATGTATGACCATGTATGACCATGTATGACCATGTATGACAGATGACCACGTATGACAGATGACCATGTATGACCATGTATGACAGATGACCATGTATGACCATGTATGACAGATGATGACCATGTATGACCATGTATGACCATGTATGACAGATGATGACCATGTATGACAGATGATGACCATGTATGACCATGTATGACCATGTATGACAGATGACCACGTATGACAGATGACCATGTATGACCATGTATGACAGATGACCATGTATGACAGATGAACATGTATGACCATGTATGACAGATGATGACCATGTATGACAGATGACCATGTATGTCCATGTATGACAGATGATGACCATGTATGACCATGTATGACAGATGACCATGTATGATCATGTATGACAGATGATGACCATGTATGACCATGTATGACAGATGATGACCATGTATGACCATGTATGACAGATGACCATGTATGACCATATATGACCATGTATGACCATGTATGACAGATGATGACCATGTATGACAGATGACTATGCATGACAGATGACCATGTATGACCTTGTATGACAGATGACCATGTATGACAGATGACCATGTATGACAGATGACCATATATGACAGATGATGACCATGTATGACAGATGATGACCATGTATGACCATGTATGACCATGTATGACAGATGATGACCATGTATGACAGATGATGACCATGTATGACCATGTATGACCATGTATGACAGATGACCACGTATGACAGATGACCATGTATGACCATGTATGACAGATGACCATGTATGACAGATGACCATGTATGACCATGTATGACAGATGATGACCATGTATGACCATGTATGACAGATGACCATGTATGACCATGTATGACAGATGATGACCATGTATGACCATGTATGACAGATGATGACCATGTATGACCATGTATGACAGATGACCATGTATGACCATGTATGACCATGTATGATTGATGATGACCATGTATGACAGATGACTATGCATGACAGATGACCATGTATGACCATGTATGACAGATGACCATATATGACAGATGATGACCATGTATGACAGATGATGACCATGTATGACCATGTATGACAGATGACCATGTATGACAGATGACCATATATGACAGATGATGACCATGTATGACAGATGATGACCATGTATGACCATGTATGACAGATGATGACCATGTATGACCATGTATGACAGATGATGACCATGTATGACCATGTATGACAGATGATGACCATGCATGACAGATGACCATGTATGACCATGTATGACAGATGATGACCATGCAAGAGTTTGAACGCATCCAGGCAGACCGCCACTTGAACCAGGCTTTTGCCCGTATCCACAAAAGTAAGCCATGCGTCGACTGTCACATGGATTCTAAAGTCATGGATAAGACGGGCAGGTAATCCATTCTTGTGTTTAATCCAACCGGAAGTTGTCCAAGTTAAGTCTTTATGCTGACCGGAAGTTGGGCTTATGGAGTGTTAAAACAGATTGGGAGTTGTTGAGTGTCTTCACACTGACCGGAAATTGTGAAAATTAAGTGCATTTAAGCTGTGAATGCTAGTCATTCAACTGACCTGAAGTTGTGAAAGTTAAGTGTATTTAAGCTGCGAATGTTAGTCATTCAACTGACCGGAATTGAGTGCCTTTAACTATACCGGATGAAGTGTGAATGGGGTGTTGCAAATGAGTGCATATGGCGTGTGTAGATAGTGTCCAGTGTGTGGTGAGTGACCCTGAACGTGCCCCCCCTCCCCCCTCCCCCACAGGTCCGTGAAGAAACGACGTGAGCGCGTCAACTACGACTCTCTGATCGCGCTGGAGAACGTCAAGTTCCTGGAGATGCTGAGGTTCAAGAAGTCGGCCTATGACAGGGAGGAGCAGCTCAAGGACTTTAAGGTAACTCTTCCGTTAGGTGGTACCACAGCTGAGGTTCAAGAAGTCGGCCTACGACAGGGAGGAGCAGCTTAAGGACTTCAAGGTAACTTTTCCGGTAGGTGGTACCACAGGTAACTTTTCCTTTAGGTGGTACCACAGGTAACTTTTCCGTTAGGTGGTACCACAGCTCAAGGTAACTCTTCCGTTAGGTGGTACCACAGGTAACTTTTCCGTTAGGTGGTACCACAGGTAACTCTTCCGTTAGGTGGTACCACAGGTAACTTTTCCGTTAGGTGGTACCACAGCTCAAGGTAACTTATCCGTTAGGTGGTACCACAGCTCAAGGTAACTTATCCGTTAGGTGGTACCACAGTTCAAGGTAACTTTTCCGTTAGGTGGTACCACAGCTCAAGGTAACTTTTCCGTTAGGTGGTACCACAGCTCAAGGTAACTTATCCGTTAGGTGGTACCACAGTTCAAGGTAACTTATCCGTTAGGTGGTACCACAGCTCAAGGTAACTTATCCGTTAGGTGGTACCACAGTTCAAGGTAACTTATCCGTTAGGTGGTACCACAGTTCAAGGTAACTTTTCCGTTAGGTGGTACCACAGCTCAAGGTAACTTTTCCGTTAGGTGGTACCACAGCTCAAGGTAACTTATCCGTTAGGTGGTACCACAGTTCAAGGTAACTTTTCCGTTAGGTGGTACCACAGCTCAAGGTAACTTTTCCGTTAGGTGGTACCACAGCTCAAGGTAACTTTTCCGTTAGGTGGTACCACAGCTCAAGGTAACTTTTCCGTTAGGTGGTACCACAGCTCAAGGTAACTTTTCCGTTAGGTGGTACCACAGCTCAAGGTAACTTTTCCGTTAGGTGGTACATAGCTCAAGGTAACTTTTCCGTTAGGTGGTACCACAGCTCAAGGTAACTTTTCCGTTAGGTGGTACATAGCTCAAGGTAACTTTTCCGTTAGGTGGTACCACAGCTCTAGTTAACTTATCGTTAGATGTTACCGGCAAACAATAGATATCTTATTAGACTTCCGTGACAGTCGCCATCTGTATATACACATCGTGAACAGGTGTTTTTAAAAATGTGTTAATTAAAGATTTAATTTATGAAAAGTATAAGCCTTAGCCTATCTTGTTAGCATTGATTTATTTTGACATTAAATGTTAAAATAACTCATTGTGTACTTTAATTAGTGTTAATTAGAAACTTCATTAAGAGGAAATAAAACGTTTTGTCTTCCGGTAACCAGAAGACATACAAGACTATGGTTATGTTGGGGAAACACACAGACACTTGGCCAGATATGAAAGGCGTGGACAAATTTCTGGCCAAAAATAAACACGAAGATATCAAGAGTCAAATCGAGGCTTGAAGCGGCACTGGATTCATTCGGATTTTTAATGAGTAAGTTTCTGAATAATGGCATTGTAATCGAAAAACAAGTCCGTTTCAAACGTATAAATATTAGGTCTATAAAAAAGTATATGTTTAAAAACCTTTGACATATACTCTGATATTTAATTAGTTAATTAATTAAATCAGAGGCGTAGCGGACAAACTTTCAATTTGGCGCCCCCTCGGGAGCAGCCTTTCAATTTTCAATTTGCATACCCCCTCAAACATTCGATTTGCACCCCCCCCCCCCTCAAACTTTCGATTTGCACCCCCCCCCCCACCCCTCAAACTTTCAATTTGCACCCTCCATATATTTATTATATTTGTAATGCAAAAATACAGCTAAAATGAGATTTTATTTTGTTTTTCCAACCCATTTTGGCGCCGCCCTAAGTTCGGCAGCGGGGACATTTTGTACCCCCCCCCCCTCGCTACTCCTCTGAATTAAATGAATGATGAGTTAAAAAAACTTAAATTTCAGTGTGACCGAGCTGACGACCCTACACCCTATAACAACATGTGCGATACTTTCCTGACAAAACACGAGGGATATTTGAAACGTTTTTATATTTATTTACAAACTTAGAGATTTCTACATGTGGTATGTGAACACGTTAAGCTAATAAAAGGTTAGCGACGCACACATTGACTTGTGTTATTGGACTTGTATTTACTAGATGGGTTCATTACACATCCACCTAGCCACACACCCACACATCCACCTAGCCACACACCCACACACCCACCTAGCCACACACCCACACATCCACCTAGCCACACACCCACACATCCACCTAGCCACACACCCACACATCCACCTAGCCACACACCCACACATCCACCTAGCCACACAACCACCTAGCCACACATCCACCTAGCCACACACCCACACATCCACCTAGCCACACACCCACACATCCACCTAGCCACACACCCACACATCCACCTAGCCACACACCCATACATCCACCTAGCCACACACCCATACATCCACCTAGCCACACACTCACACATCCACCTAGCCACACACCCACACACCCACCTAGCCACACACCCACACATCCACCTAGCCACACACCCACACATCCACCTAGCCACACACCCACACATCCACCTAGCCACACACCCACACATCCACCTAGCCACACACCCACCTAGCCACACATCTACCTAGCCACACACCCACCTAGCCACACACCCATACATCCAACTAACCACACACCCACACATCCACCTAGCCACACACCCATACATCCATCTAGCCACACACTCACACATCCACCTAGCCACACATCCACCTAGCCACAGACCCACACATCCACCTAGCCACACATTCACCTAACCACACACCCACACATCCACCTAGCCACACACCCATACATCCACCTAGCCACACACTCACACATCCACCTAGCCACACATCCACCTAACCACACACCCACACATCCACCTAGCCACACACCCACACATCCACCTAGCCACACATTCACCTAGCCACTCATCCACTTATCCACATAGCCACACACCCTCACATCCACCTAGCCACACACACCCTCACATCCACCTAGCCAGTCTTCCACACATCCACCTAGCCAGAGATACGGGTCTAGTGTAAACAACAAATGGTCGTGGGATCAAAACCAGCCCAGACCTAAACAAAAAGGACAATTATAAACGCCATCTTAAAAAAATAATTTGTTTAATAGATCCGACTAATGTCTTCGTCAAATATACAGGCGGGCATCGTTACACTTGATAATGTGCTGTACAGATTGTGTGCTGTACAGATTGTGGGCTGTACAGATTGTGTGCTGTACAGATTGTGTGCTGTACAGATTGTGTGCTGTACAGATTGTGTGCTGTACAGATTGTGTGCTGTACAGATTGTATGCTGTACAGATTGTGTGCTGTACAGATTGTGTGCTGTACAGATTGTGTGCTGTACAGATTGTGGGCTGTACAGATTGTGTGCTGTACAGATTGTGTGCTGTACAGATTGTGTGCTGTACAGATTGTGGGCTGTACAGATTGTGGGCTGTACAGATTGTGGGCTGTACAGATTGTGGGCTGTACAGATTGTGGGCTGTTGGACTATACCAGGGGTCTCCAAACTTTTCAGTCCGAGGGCCGCATTACCTATCAAATTTCAGTTCGGGGGCCAGGTTCTTCCAGGCATGACTTTGATTTTTCTGGGCAAAGTTCCTCGGCCATCACCAACAAACGATTTTTCCGTGGACAAAAAGATCTCCGCGGGCCGGATGAGAGGACATCGCGGGCCGTAGTTTGGAGACCCCAGGACTTTACTGAAACATTAGGGGTACTGTAACATTAGGGAAGTACAGTTACCCTTTCGGACCTGACGATTTATGGGGTAGGTGTAGTAGAGTTCACCTGTTGCTGTGACCTCGGTATATGGAGGGATAGTGTACTATAGGCCTACTTAGCTGCCTTTGCCTTCCCCAACGTGAACCGAACCCGAGACTTCCGGGTCACGTGTCTCACGCTCTACCGACCAGGATTTCCATTCGACCTCGGAAAATTATGAAGTGCTGTAAAACTGGATAGTTCTATACAAGCTGGTAGTTCTGTAAAATTGTGTAGTTCTGTACATTTAGGAAATACTGTAAAATTGGGTAATTTCATAAAATTTTGTAGCACAGTAAAATTTTGTAGTTTTGTAAATTAGGTAGTAGGTCCTACTGTAAAATTGGGAACGTTTATAAAATTGTGTATTTCTGTGAAGTTAGGAAAATCTGTAAAATTAAACTCGAGGTGATTTATAGCTCAATCACCGGGTTGCCTTCAGACAGATTCGCGTGTACGGGTTGACCAGCTGACGCACCGGGTTGTAGGGCTCAGGTCGATATGGTGGAGCTGGGCGAGACAGATGTCTCAGCCATCGGGGTTGTAGGGCTCAGGTCGATATGGTGGAGCTAGGCGAGACAGAGACCGATGTCTCAGCCATTGAGGTTGTAGGGCTCAGGTCGATATGGTGGAGCTAGGCGAGACAGAGACCGATGTCTCAGCCATCGGGGTTGTAGGGCTCAGGTCGATATGGTGGAGCTAGGCGAGACAGAGACCGATGTCTCTTCGTCTGGCTCCTTACTGTAGTTGTACAAGGCGGAAGTGACGAAATTCTGCATTGCTGCAAGGGAGTTAAACCGCGAGGATAAATCTAAACTTCCGTCTTCGGTTCTCTCCCCTTCCCTGTGGCGTGGTGACGTGGAGCCCATCTTTGAGCTATTTATAACACCCTCAGGTGACTCTCTCGTGCTGGAGTGACTTGACGGGGAGGGGACGTTCCTCTCTGGGTCGGCTAGTCTAAGAGGGTCTTGTCTGACGTCATAGGCGAACCGCTGGAACTGCCTGAGCGGCAGGAAGGGTTTGACGAAGTCGCTGGCACCAAGTCGTTCATGAAGGTTGGCAGACGTAGGGTTTTTCAAGTTGCTGAGCATCGTCTGCTGGAGTCTGTCCTGAGGGGGGTGGGGCGCCGCGGTCCTTATAAGGCCAGGCCGGTACAGGAGCTGGGAGTAGTACTGTAGGAGGACGGGAGGGATGCTCAGGAAGCCCGGGGGGTAGTAGGGTGGGTAGTTGAACACGCTCCTGGTTAGTGACCCCAGGGGGTTGAGCTCTTGATCTGGGCTGACGTAACACGTGACATCCGGGTCAAGGTGAGGGGTCAGCTCGCTTTTCTGTGGGCGGCAACAAAAGGTCAGGAGATTAGGAGGACTATCATGGACGATGGGAAGGTTGTGTTACATAGGTCTAGACAAATATAGAAATGAAGGTGGAGGATTTAGTTTATGAATGCTGGGCTGGTATAGACATATAGATAGGATGAATATGGATAGGGTGACACAAAATCCCTTCAGTATAGAACTATGAATGTGTGTTATGTAAATGATATCTAAACTGGCATAGGACTAGAGATGGAGGGTGTAGTCACAGAAATCTACACTAGTAACTATGGATAGAAAGTAAAGATGGACGTTTTTGGAACATCAAATTAGACAAGTTTACATCCAGGCATCTCTTCGCCCCCCCCCCCCCCCGAAGAAAGTCTACCCCCCCCCCCCCCGAAAGAATTGGAATTTATATAGAAAGCATATATTTTTTACCAGTGTCCGCCCCCCCCCGGAAAATATTGACCACTCCGCCGAAAATATCAAGTGCCCCCCTGGAGAAAAAAGTATGGAAGAAACACTGTTTGGAACTATGGATTAAATGGAATAGTCTATGAAAGATATCTAGCACTAGACTCATATATATCTATAGTGGGGGTACCACGTTTGTGTTTATCTTACGGGATGGACAGGGTCCAGTTTGTGCATGGGTCGCGGGGCCGGGACGTATGTGACGTCGGTCAAGTCCTGCAGGCCACCAAAGTTCCTCAGCCTGGAATGTTTGCGCCATTTAGCGCGGCGGTTCTGGAACCAGATCTGAAGAGAGAAAAACATCAATTTAAAATTGTTTCCCTTAAAATTTGTTTCCCTAATGTGAGCCAGGTACCCATCAGAGCTGAGTGGACTCAGGGACGTGCTACAGACTCGAGCCCGGGAAACGAACTCGAGAGTTTCGGTTAAAAGCCGTGTGCCCTACCATCCGACTACGCCGTCTTTACTTCTATGAATACGGTTTAGTAAAAGGAAATCTACATTTGGGGTCATCCATAAATGACGTCACGCTTCTTTGGGCGATTTTTACCTCCCCCCTCCCTTCCGTCACACGTCGTCACAGACCCCTTCCTAAAATGACGTCACACCTCAGCCTACAACCCCCCTCAAAATTGCAGTTGAATTTTTTTTTAAACATCGATATTTTTCTAAAATCTTGTCTGAATTCTGTCAAAATAGAGTATTTCAATCAATCCCTATTACAATTTATTAAAACGGTTTTCTAAAAGGCGAAATAACGTCTAAAATTCGTTTTCTAACATTGCTTTTTTATAATGCAAAAGTGTGACGTCGCACCATCTGAACCCCCCCCCCCCTCCCCCTCATCACACACCGTCACAAAATTACGGACTCCCCCTCCCCCCTACGAGTGTGACGTCATTTATGGACGACCCCTTTCCTTCTATAAACAACTTCCATGCACCAGAAGCGACTGAAGCACCCCCTTACCCCTCTCCCCCACCTTACCTGCACCCTCTCCTCATTGAGCCCTATCCTCTCGACCAGGCTCTCCCTCGTGTTGGCGTCTGGGTAATGTGTGATGGCGAACACTTCCTCCAGAGAGTGAAGCTGCTCCGCGGTGAAGGTCGTCCGCACGCGCCTCTTCTTTGCGCATGACGCGGCGTTAGATATCACGTGACTCCGCTCAGCCAATGGTTTTTCTAAATTTTCAATTGCCGGGCTGCCATGGCAGTTTGTGATAGTGTCAAAGTATTTTCTGACTGTTGCGTCATCAGAACCTTTCCGCGCCTGCGCACTGGAGACTTCCACATTTTGTATGACGTCACTTTTGTGCACGTGATTTGACGAGCTATTGCCCGTTAGCAGAACGGAAGTGGGTGAGAAAACTGTTGTCCCAGCACCGTTCAGGTTGGCTGGCACTGCGTTACTAAGCAACGCCTCGTGACTTCTTTTTCTGGAGAGGTCGTGAACTTCACAAAGTTTTGAACTTCCGGTATCGGAGTTGGAAGATTCATCATCTGACTGAAGAAGGGCATTACCATTGAGCGTTGGATCGTTGTTATAGAAACTGACATTGGCAAAACCCCGGGCACATTTAAAGTCTAAACTTCCGTTCAGCTTGGATAAGTCTTTTGATTGGTTCTCAGGAGATAGGCTCTGGACGTGTTTCTGTGTGTCAGGTGTGTCAGGTGTGTCTGTTCTATTACTGGAGCACCTGTTTCCGGGTTGTTTGTGGCACTGTAGAGTGAGCTCTAGAACCATTGGTGACGTAACTTCCGGTGAAACTCCGACCACCTGCGCCTGCTTGCAGGGTACCTCGGCTTGTCCTTCACCTGTAATATAAACCAAAATATCAATAAACAAACAAACCGGAAGATAGAATATTATAATATGAGAGTGTATACCACTATATGTTATAAGGAAGATGGTGTTGTAATAAACATCACATAGTTATGGACATACAGGGAGAGATCAATGACCTAACAATGATACAAAAGCAAGGGTTGGTGTAAAGACAGAGGTGCCACGACTGCACTTTGGCATCAAGGGTCAGCTTCTGGGGGTCAATATAGGTGTGTAAGAGTGGTCATGATAGGTGTGTAAGAGAGGTCATGATAGGTATGTAAGAGTGGTCAAGATAGGTGTGTAAGAGAGGTCATGATAGGTGTGTAAAAGAAAGATAGGTATGTAAGAGAGGTAATGATAGGTATGTAAAAATAAAGAGGTAAAGATAAGTGTGTAAGA